ATTGAGCATTTTTGTTTGTAAGACAAACTTTTTGTCTTGTTAGAGGTAGAGGTAGTCCTTTTCTATGGTAGTCCTTTTCCTTTGCCAGTGGCAACTCGGCGCCCGCCGTGTATCCAATGGATACACGGTGGATGCCATTTGTCTGTGGGAACTTGGCGCCTACCGTATTCCCAACATGGCAAATGTTTTAGTACAAATTTGAACCACAAAAATTCAACATCAAATTTACATGCACATCCATTTACATTGTGTCCACGTCTGAGCAATCCGCATCTACTCTACTGACATATTGTTGGCACAACCCCTCTTCACAATCTTGTAGCCGGTGCACCTCACAACCTATTGTGCACTGCACCATCGCCCTTTTCCACTTGTAGTGCCGAGGGTAGAACCAGAAGTCCACCTTTTTGGCTTTTGAGCATTTGCCTCACTACCTGTGTATGTGCATGCGTCACTTGTTAGTGTATGCATCCCTTTGTTAGTTGCAAACTCTTTATTTTCATATTTGTTTTTGCCGATTTTTCATTTCAGCCGTTTTCTCTGATCCTTGGCCGTTTTTCTATTCTACATATTTTTAGGTTGTCCCAATGCCGAATTTCCAAATCCTAAAATTTTCCACCTTGTTGCCAATTTTCCATTTCCTCATTTTTTTCTTCTTTTTGGTTTTGCCGCTTTTCCATATTTGCCTTTTTGTTCTTGCCAAATTTCCATTTTTAGATCTTTTCTATTTCATAATTTTAGCCGAATTTCTCTATTGCATTTTTCAGGTTTTTAAATTGCTTGTTTATCAATTTGCATGTAAGCGAGTTCTCCCCATCTAGCGTCGCGAGCAACAACCCCCCGGTTCTAATGCGTGGCGTTGTCTCTATGCGTGGCCATTTGCACGCATTTCGGCGAGCCAGCAATGCAAAAATAAAGGTTGGGAGGAAACGGGGGGCTCCAATCTTAATTTAGCTGAATCTCAGTGCCAAAATGAGCGCCAAATAATAGCAATAGGCCCCCTTCCATGAGGTGGGGACCCTGGGCATCCCCAAATGCTCCCGTTTTGGTTTTTGGTCCCTTCTCCGAAGGGACGTGCCTTTGGCGCTATTGTGACAAAAGGCCCCGTGGATCACGCTGGGTTGGTGTGGCAAATCTGATGCCAACATCTCGCACATCAATTATTACCATTGTTGGAAAAAAGAACGTGTTGCAAGAAAGAATTGTCACACCATGCTTGCAAAATGGGTAGACAAACGAGTACGATGCTTGAAGATAAAAGGGAAGCTTTGCTGCAGCTTCTTTAGATGCCTCCCACTGCCATTGAATATAAATTACTTTTTTTCAGCACTTAAGGTAGCATGTAGTATTCCACGCTCTCGCCCACTACATAGGTGGCATGTCCGAAGTACTCCCCGCACCCTCTTGGCTGTGTTTAGTACTTAAGGGGGTATTGTATTCACTGCCATACCCACAATAGTATATAGTGACAGCAATATGGTGCTGGTCACCTGCCCCCCTCGGCGATCCCCACCGCTTGCACCTTATGTAAGGCAGTAATGGTCACGTGGGGTGCCGGTACAATCAGTCATCCACACCAAGGCATGCCGGCCCCGAACAATCCGTCTTTGCCGCAGTTACATGATTGTTAGCCTAGACCTCATATGTGTCATGCTGGCCATCAGCTTCTTTCTATCATGATCCCCATCGACACGCATCACTTCCGTGATGGAATAGGATCGTGTGTGTGTACTCCATCTGCGACCAACATGTGAGCAGTTACCTCCCCACCATAAGCCCCGCGGTGCCCCAATATGACTAACACCCGCAGGAATCCCATGCACACCAAGGCCAGATTTGCCATGGCGTTGTGCTATGACGCTGTGCCATGATGCTGTGCCATGACTCACAACACAACACCCCACACGAATCTGGAGGCGCCAACTCACACGCCTACCCAAGACCTCCCCCCACATGGCGATCAGTCATTGCCATGCTTGCTTTAGTCACCTGCCGTGACACCGAATCCGATAGGTTGTCGATCTTGCCGGCTGTCAGCAATGCGGGCATCCAGATGCCAAAATCCTCTACATGAGGGGGCAAGTTATAACCTCTCAGTATGCCAAATTGACCAGCAGGTATTTAGATAGTATGGAAGCAAAATCTCCAAAGTTTACAACTGCCAGGACTTGCCACTCGGGGGTTGGTCTACCCGTTGGGATGGCAACCCCTTTAAATAGTCTCCAGGGGGCAACAACATGCCCTCTTGTTCGCAGAACCGTTCCAGAGAAGCGTTTAGCTAGAAGAGCTTAGAAACTCCTTCCGAAACTATCCCAAAACTCCCTCCAGAACTGCCCAAAGAGCCGCTAAGCCAAAGCGAATTTCATCCAGCTCCTTGATTCCCCATGTACAGCTTCATAGCCCGGATTCAGAATGCCATGCCATACCCCACATCCGTCCGTTTGGAGTGCAAATTCTCGCATTTCGGGGCACAAAACTAGGCTATAAAATAGGACGGAATCGTGTTGCGTTTCAAAGAGGAAATCCCATAGTTGCGCGGGATTCCTCGGTCTTCCATTCTCGTCCTTGCACTCCTGTTCCCACAATTGTCCATGTTGCACTGCATCCAGAACCACACCTTCGCCTCCAGCAGATTTTCGTTCGAAGTCATCTGGATTATGCCGAACTCCACCACCTGTGCTCCATGCTGCCGAATCCACTCGCCTATGGTACGCAAAACCTCTCTAAATCTCACGGAACTGGCGGGTAACCAGTCCCCCCTTCACGCAACAGTGATATCCTGCACAAAGTCAAGCTGTGCACTCACCCCCTTCAGCGCTTCTGGTTTAACCTGCCCCTCAACATCGACCATCAACTCCCTCCGCCTTAACAATTTGTGCTCATCTCTCCACACTCCCCTATCAAAAAGCTCGGTGACTGAAAATGGCACTCCTTCCTCTTCTTGTGTCTTCACTCGCTATATGATGAACTTGACTTCCTAGCGTCTGGAGATGGGGAGGGGTTGCACGATTTCTTAGCGTGTAATCTTCGCGTTGGCGGGCTCCACAAACTCGGAGAGCATGGCCCACCACCCGCGGAGGGGAATGGAGCGGACAATCATGCTGGCAGGAGTCACCCAAGGCACTGGCGGTTCACAAGGTGCACAGGCAGGCTGCAGGGCGGTATGGCATTCGCATGGCTTCCCTTTTCACATCCCCGGTTCTCTCATTGTACCCCTAAACTACTAGTTGTGATTTAGAAAATTTTTGCCTGCGTTTCCCCCATATTTTGGGTATTTTGGTTTTTCTCTTTACTCAATATCCTATTCGCTCTTTTAGCCCTTTCGAGTGTTTCTTTGATGGCTTTTTAATGCAAAGATGACCTGTGAATTGGGTCATTTTCCAGGGACATCGAACAGAACAATTTCACTGTCGCGTAAAAAACAGTGACCTGCGTCGGCTGACGGCATAGTCGAGCATCTCAGTCCTCACCCGCGATCGAGGCCCACCACCCTTACCATAATCCGGGCCATCACCACTCTGCCCGCCTGCCCCCCGCCCCAGAGGCCTGCCTCCCAACCACCCTAAGCCCCGACCTAGGCCTGGTCGGCCACCTTTGCCTTAGCGGGTGGAGTCGAGCGGCCGGGACCTACCCGCCGACTGACCGCCGGCTACCCACGGGCGGTCGGAGGTTTGGGCGTCGCATCCTCGCGGGTGGCCTGCCGGAGAGGGGCCAGAGATTGAGCGCGCCCCTAGCGCGGGCCTCCGCGCCGGCTGGCCGGACGAGCGCCGATTGACGGCGAATTGTATGAGCGGCGCTTGGGGCGGAGCGGGGCTGTGAGGAGATCGGGCGAGGAGGCTGGGGTAATCGGTGGGGCGGGCGACGGGTCACGATGTTGGGCGGGACAGAATGAGTCGTGAGCCGGGCGACGGAGGCGGCCGGAGCAGCGAGCAGGCATAGGCGGGCACCAGGTACGGCATCGACGGCCTGCTGATTGTGGGGAAAGGGGCCGCGGGGGGCCCTTTTGGGGGGGATTCCTCCTCGCCTCTCGGGCCCATGACCCCCAGGCCCCGAATCCGAAACGGCCTCTTCGGCAATCGGTTCGCGGCCGTTCGGCAGTCTCGCTTGCCGGAAAGGGGGGCCCCTTCCCGAGAAGAGCCCGCGCCGGCCCGCGCGGAGCTCCCGAGTCCGGGTGTGCGTGTGTTTGGGGCCATCGACCGGGTCCTCCACCGGCCAATGAGCTGACCTGCCGTACTCTTGCATCGCACCCGAGGCCCCTCGCACACAGTCCCCAACGTTTGGCGCCCGCCTGCGCCCCTATGACGAAATCAAAGCGCTCCTTCCCAACCCGCTCCCCCTCCTCCCCCCTTTCCCTGCGCATACGAACCCCGCTCTGACCGACATTCACGCCCCCTCGCCGTAATCAGCCCCCCCCCCCCCCGGGGCGTCCCTGTGGCCTCGCCTGACGTGGCCTCCCGTGTTGCGACCCCAGGACGCGATGCGCCCCGTCACCGGGATCCGCCTGCTGGCTTGGCTGGCTGCCGCGGCTTTGATGGCTGCCCCCGCCCGCGCCACCGAGTCCGACGGCAGTTTGGTGCGCGGCCTGGCCGCCGTGGATACATCCCGGGAGCTGTGGTCCGCGCTGATGGACAACAAGGTGGCGAGGGTACAGGTCACGGCCGACCTGTCCCTCCGGCGGGACGTCTGGCCCGGGGACGACGGCCACAGGCGGCACGCCATGGTGGTCAGGAGGGACGTGATCATCGAGGGGGCGCCCACGATCGCGGGCAGACGCCCGAGGATCGATTTGGACTACATGCGGTTCAGGGTGGCGCCGGGCAGGGGCCGCGTACTGGTGGTGAGGGGCCTAGAATTCACGTCCGCGGTGAAGAACTCCCGGGACACGGAGCTGCAGCTGACGGTGCCTTTCTTCACCCAGAGGAAGAACTCCACGCTGGTGTTGGATGACATTGTCGCGCCCGTGGCGGTGGGATTCACAGCGCCGCTGGCGACGCTGCTGGTCCTGGTGAGGGGGATACGGCCGGAGGGCCTGGAGGGGCGCAATGCGCTGAGCCGGGTGGGGAAGGAGGAATGCAGGGCGGGGTGGGGGGTACCGTGCCCGGAGCAGGCCCTGTGGGTGGAGGACTTCGCAGGGATCATGGAGGTGGAGGAGGTGAACGTGATCAGGAGGGTGCAGAGGAAGTACGACGTCACCCTGGTGATGAAGGACAGCCTGATGGTGGCCGTGAACGTGGACAACATGGAATTCAACAGCACAGAGGACACCTCGGGCAGGAGGACTTTCGTGGCAGACAGTCTCTTTGAGCTGTTCGAGGCCATGATGGACCCAGAGGTCGTGACGGTTCACCTGTTCAACGACATGGTGTTCGACATGTCCTCCTGGCCCAACCTGCATGGCCACCTCATTGAGACCTGCAGCCTGGACAGGGATGTGGTCATCACAACCCACCCCACCAGCGCCAGCAAGGCAAAGTTCGACTTCAACTTGGCAAAGAACGGGATATCCGTGAGGGGAAACTCCACCCTGACTTTGAGGGACGTTTTTCTAACGAGGACGTCCAGGAATCCAGACCACACCCTCACCCTGCCATTCTTCGATGTGGAGAGGGGCTCAACCTTGCACTTGCATGGGGTGGTGGCCCACACGCCCATCCGCACCACTGATGTTCAGTACATCGCATCCCTTGTCAACAGGCTGGAGCATGCTGGAGCACACGTGCCTTGGCACTCTGTTGAGTACCATGACCCTGCCAGGTGCAAAGATTTCGCCCCCCGGAAGGACAGCCCGTGCGATGGGGGCTTCTTGGTGACCTCCGTGCTGCCCAACTCGCCCATGGTGGCCCCCCACGTCCAGCCTGAGGACCTGGGCAGTGACGCGCCTGGACTGGTATTTGTCAACAGCTCGTTTTTTTCGGTGCTGGACCTGAAAAAACGGCGGATAAAGAGCGAAGAGGAGGAACTGCACCAGCAAAGGGGCATTGCGCTTGTCAGCACAGAGGGACAGCTGCGCCAGGCACTGAAGAACGAGACTGTGAGGGCCATCTGGCTGAGGAACAACTTGAACCTGACGAACAGGGCGTGGCCAGGGGGTCGAAACTCGTCAATGATGGTTGTTGACAGGGATGTGATGATAGCGTCGCACCCAACAACAGGCCTGTCGCTTGCGATCGATCTGGACTACATGATCGCCAGAGTGGCAGCTGGGGAGAACCACAATTTGTCGTTCGACAGGCTGAACTTTACGCGCGTGTCGAGGGAGGGCATTCACTTGCACTATGTGCCCTTCTTCTGCTGGCAGAACAACAGCACTCTGTTCTTCCGTCAGGTGCTGTCACAGATGGCTGTGGAGCCGACCAGGTGGGAGTCGTGGCAGCAGGTGTTGGGAAAATGACATAAACAGGCATAATTTAAGTAGTGTCATCCCTGCCAGAGTTTGTGAAAGCCAGTGCAGACGTTAAACATGTCATGCATTGGGTATCTCTGCTTATCGGAGTAACCAGTTTTTGCTGTGCTCTCACCAAGACCGGGAGGAAAACGTGTAAGTTGCCAAGCCCAGCGGGCAAAGCTTGCTGAGCTGAAGTATTCCACCTTTCCTGGCTTTGCCCTTACTTTGCAGGTCTCCCCCTGCTCTCATCAAATCATTGTTGCCATGAATGGCGATTGGGCAGTGCAGCTGGAGGTTGTAAGCGTGCCCCACAGCCCAAAGTCTCCATGAACACCATGTAATTGTTTGTTTTCTCATTCCTGAAGCCAAGTCCAAGCTGCCTGGTTTCTTTATGTATGACAGTGTTCTGGCTTCACAAGATGAACATCCAGCTCTGCTGCATCAGTCACTTGCCATTTTGGTAGCGCATGCCCATTGCTCTGAGTGGTTTACACCTGGTGTCCCATGCGGTTTAATGCCACTGTCCAACCATGAAATGGTCACATTGGTAGCCAGTCCCAAAAGATGTACATGGCTGCCATGGACAGTGTGTTCTATAGGATCACTGTCATACAAGTGCGGAAGCTGGTGATTTCCTTGCAGAAATCCACACCGGTTGCATTTGTGACGAGTTCAAGCGATTTTAGCACAATCTATTGTCAGGAATATGTTACTAGGTTCACAAATGTACTAATGTAATTGTTATCTCAATCTAAATTGAGTTACAAGTTATCTTAATGCAACTAATCAGTGTTGTCTCAGGAAGGTTAATCAATGCGCTGGTGATGTGCTTCACTCGACCGATTAATTGTGTGGCATGCTGCTCCAGACTGATCAGACTAGACAAGAAATACGAACGTGACTTCGCTAAGATTGGTGGCCCTGAGCTGCACGATGTCAAGGTCATTGGGAACAGCAGCTGTGAAAGAATTGCTGATCTTCAGTGCCCTGACAAGGCGCTCTTCATAACCAAAACAAAGCAAAGAATCGATGTCTGCAGCCAGAGCATGGTCAAGAACATCAGACATGCCCAGCGACCTTGCCCAGCAAATGGAATCGGGATCTTCAAGGCGGAGTTCATGTTGATTTTGGCCCACGATGTTGAGAGGTGCCCGCTTTTCACCAGAGAAGAAGAGGATGCTGGTGAGGTTTGTGGACATCAAAGCCCTCTAGGAGCCATCAGAAGGACAGAGGAGACATCAGAGGACAGCAATGTGTGAGTGGCATTGTCGAATATTCACTGTGTAGTGGTAGCTGCAGCAGCATGTGCCCTTGGCAGTCTGCCGTCTTTGTCTGCAGCTTTGCCATGACAGCTTTGGCTGCTTGCAATTGCCTTGCCAGCTTGTTGGCGAATTTGTCTCGAATCTACAGGACTTGTGCCCATTGATTTGTGAGGAATTCCCAGCCTGCATATTTCTGTAAGAGCAGCTGCTGACGTGCCAAAGGCCTGTCCCCTGGCGGGCTATAACGACTGCACAAATGTCCCTGTGTTTGTGCGAATTCCCCAAGGCCTCGTTCTGCACACAACCCAGATGTGCCACTTGTGAAGTCCTTGCTTTGACTGTTATTAACCATTCTATGGTAACGTGCTGCAGTTGTACCCATTGACATTGCCGAGTGCTTGCTGTACCCACAAATGTTTGTCCCAGAGTCTGTTTGTATGGATTGGATACATTTGCAGCACCCCCATCCTTGTCACCCCATATATCTTTGCTGGGTGTGACTCATAGCTGATATGTTTGTTGGTTAGCTTGCTTGCTTGGGTGCTCCATGCCCTCTGCTACAAAGCGCTGTTTGCAGATTTGCGACCTTCAACGTGCGCGCTTGTGTCAGCTGGAGTTCGAGGCACGTTTACTGGAAGATGCCTCACATCCTTTTTCGTCTTTATATTTCTATTCAGGCTTGGGCAAGTGGGCTTGAATTGGATGCACCTGGTCTATGCCTTGCTTGCCCTCTTCGTTGTCGTTCTCGTCATTTCTGGGTTTGATGGCCACACCACCGGGAGCCAGGTCCTAACACAGTGCCCCATGGGCAAAGCTGCAGGGGTGTCGTTGAGGAACATCAGAAGGTTGCTCCTGAGCTCATTGAAGACATGACACTGGGTAGGGAATCTGTGGGCTGTGTGGTTCCCTGTGGTTACCGTGGAAGAGTGCTTTGCATGCACTGAAAAAAGCACACTCTGTGTACAAGCCTTGCATCCTCCATTGCCGAAGAGCGACCCACAGGGACCGCACGGGGGAAAAATTCCTAGCAGCAATCCGCAAACGTATTCTTGAGGTCGCTCTTTCTTCTGACAGCAGCTGGGCGGGTTGTTGTTGGCTAATGTGCTAACCCCTGCCCACCCAGCCAGGCTTGTGCACGATGAGGGCTGCGTGTAGTGCTGGTGGCCATTGCTTAGTTCGTGACTTGCACAGGCAGCGTAGAATCTCATGGACAGGACAAACAAGTTTTTGTGATTGCATTTGTCAAGGCCTGAGATAGTGCTGCCATGTCGGCACCCAGAAGGTGTGGTCAGTGCTGCTGACAAGCACAGCTGTCAGTCCCTATCAAGTTGTCTTGTGCCATTCTTCTCCACCATTGCAGCAAACCTCTGCCAAGCTGAGGGAATTGATGCATGGCAGTGGGCCAGGCCAGTGACCTGCCATTTTCTTGTTGCATTGCAGGCTCTTTGATGGGTGTGGGCAGCTTTGCACGCGTGTACAAGGCCTTGTGGAATGGTGCACCAGTGGCTGTAAAAGTGATTACACACCAGAAGGGCGATGATGTGGCCAAGATTGAGCGCGAGGCACTGTTGAGCACAGAGCTACGGCACCCTAACGTTGTGCAGGGATACCATTTTGCGACTCGTGCCGTTGATGGCTGCTGCGAGGCTTCGAAGGTGTGTTCCTACTGTAGCTGCTGAGGCTGTCCACAGAGGCAGCACCAGCAAGTGTCATGTCTCTATTGCTTGCTGGTGGATCTCCAAACATAGCAGCAACCATGAGCCTCACCGCCTGCAAGTGTCACTGTTGTCCACAAGCACATGGACCTGGGCATGGATGCGATTTTCTGTTCTTCCCATCCAGTTGAGAAGGAGACAAGTCTGTTCCTTGTATGCACTTCAGCACAGTCGATTGGTTATCTGTTGTTTGTTGTTGTTAAACTCTGTGCCATGCGCAGAAGCAACACATCTTTTGTATTATCCTTCATGGAATGGGACACAGTCACAGAATTCTTGCTCAGGTTGTGGGCCCCCACTATGTGGCAGGTGTTCTCTGTGTTATGAAGACAGTCTCGAATGGTGTAAACAGTTTCCAAATTTATGAGGATGCACAGCTTGGCGGGTTGTGGTACTGCCACTATAAACAGTACTGGGAGGCGTCACAGCCTGCGCTTGGCACTGAGCACTCAACTGGACGTATTTCTAGCCATGCTCTGGGTTCCTATCTCCACAGCGCTTCGCTCTTGTTCAGCTAATGGGATAAGTTGTGTGCCTCCACACGCGTTGCCTGCTGCCATCTTGCACAGCAAATATGCTAGTGTACATCCCAACTGTACAAACCTATGTGTGGAATCGCATGGACAGTGTGAGAAAGCACCAAGCAGCAAGATGCAGACAGGTGGTTTGGGGCAGATCTGTGAAGAGAAGAAATTCCTGAAATTTTGGGAACTGCTGCATGCCCTTGGCAGTTTGCCTAGCGGGCAGCTGAGATTCCCATTTATTTTCTACACTCTGAGAGGGCTGTGCTTATCAGTTATTAACAGGCACAGCCAGTGTGGCTTCCTTTTGAACTGCCCTTGGAGACACTGCTCTTTTCTTTCCAATTTCGGTAATGCTGCTGTGCATTGCAGGTCGCACTTGGCACCTCGATCGGAAGCACGATATGCCAGAAGGGTGCAGAGCTGGGTTCTAGGGGCACGACGGATGTGGGTAAGTCTGGGTCGTCCCTGTCCTCCATCCTCACGTCGTCTGTGCTATTCTCGGAACGGGACAGAGAACCCAAGGAGCTGGCAAGCGACACCTATCGGGAGACATGGCTGGTGCAGGAGCTCTGTGACAAGGGCACCTTGATGGAAGGGCTTGGTTCAGGACTGTTCCGGAGGCATCGGGCATCGTCTGGCCCACTGATCCTGGTGAGTTTTTTCTTGTTGTGCATGTGTCCCTGTCACAAAGTGAGCCACTCCAATGGGCACCTTGTGGTGAAGGCAGCCTGTTGTACCTTGTGGAGTGTAGGGCAGACTTTGCATGCAAGTGAGCTACAATGGCAGGCAGCACTACAGCAGGAGCTGTCCTAGTTGTTGCAGGATCGCTTGTTGGTGAGCAGCCCTAAGTACAATCTGTGCTCATCCATGTGGCGCACCACATCTTCAAGGGGCAGCCAACGTTGCATACCAGGCTGAAGGGCAGAGTTTTGGCACCTTGTGATGAGCACAAACACGAGAGTTTGCAACAAAGTTTGTGACTGCCTTGCAGGACCATGTGATAAAGACTTGTCAGGACATAGCCAGGGGTATGAAGTACCTCCATGACAACAACATCGTACACGGGGACCTGAAGAGCAGCAATGTGCTGCTGCAGAGCAGTGTGACCGATCCCCGTGGCTATGTTGCCAAGGTGGCAGACTTTGGGCTCAGTCAGCAAATGATGTCAGCCAAGACGCACATCACTGCATCACGCACATCATTTGGGACAGTCACACATATGCCACCTGAGGTGCTCCAGCAGGGGCACCTTTCGCTGGCTGCGGACATTTATTCCTTTGGCATAATAAGTAAGGAAACAAATGCAGTGAGGAAGTCAATTTGTTGTATGGTCGATGAGGAAGTGGTGAGAAATCAGAGTGATGCGGGTCCTAGCGCGGACCATGCGAGGGTTGCACGAGAGAGACTGCAACACTCTCGGAGACCCAAAATGAGGCACTTACATGGTGTGCTTCAAGCACACTTATACCACATGTGTCATCTTATAATCAAATGTATAATGTACAGGTCATAATGTACAGTGTTTTCAATGTACTACTGGCCACTGCAAATGGCACCACCGGCATCAGAGAGAGTTCGATGGCAAGTGCATGCGACAAAATGTGGTGCACGAGGCCATAGCTGTGTGTATCAATATGTGGATATTAGTGCCAACAGATGAACAGGTGTACGTGTGTATATTTCTACACCTTATGTCCAACGCTGTGAGTAAGTACGTAAGTACTGCAAATATGTGATAGGTGAGTAGCACTTCTCCTGTTCTAAAGTCTTGGTAGTTTTGTTGCCCAATTATCTCTGGTTCTGAATCAAAGTAGCTCTGGAAATTTGTGGGGAGCTCAAGTATGGTATTCATTGGTCAGTTGACCTGCATCAACTTCAAGCGCACAGGGACTTCCTGTTTCTGTTGTTTCCTCGATCCTAATTGCCCCGCGGGCCTTTCTGCTCCGGTGTGGAGCTGACATGCTTGTTAGGCAACTAGCCTTGATGGGTCTTCCCTCCAAGCGATTTGTCCCCAACTATGAAGCACGCAAAGTCTAAGTAATCAGAAAAAGCCAAGAAAAAAAGCAAGCCCTAAGTTCCATAAAGGATGATTATGAATGCATCCCTGCGATATGAACTGTGCCTATTGTGCATCAAGTTTTCCCACATTCATTTGATCTGGACGAATGCATTGAGGATGCAAATTGCGCTCATTGTCCAGTGTGGGAGATGATGTCTGGAGAGCCGCCTTTCCAGAACATGATGCAGATGGAAGTGATGAGGAAGGTGGTGCTGGAGCGCCAGCGCCCGGAATTTCCGTCCTGGACGCCTGTGAAATATAGAGCACTGGTGGACAAGTGTTGGTGTTATGAAGCATCCGAGAGGTATGTGTGTGTGTGTGTGTGTGTTGAGATGTGACAACCATGTATGGAGTACATTCAGGCCTGTCACCTTTGAGGCAATATGAAGCTGCAGACCAGCCTGAGCAATGTTTGTTCAGGTGCCCATAAGGCCAGGTCCAAAAGCATGGAGGGCACAAGTCCCCTTGTCAAGTCGATGAAGGGTACCCTCTGTGTGTGTGTGTGTGTGTGTGTGTGTGTGTGTGCGTTTGTGCTGAGATGCAACAAGCATGCACGGACAACAGCAGCAAGGCTGTGCTGGGCACATGTAACTGGTCCGCTCAGCTGCACTAGCGTTGCTTGTTGGTGTGGCCCTGTAGTTCAGTTCCACAAGATGAAAGTGCGAAGTTCATCTTGCTAGGCCGATGAAGGGGGGTGCCGCAAGGGTGTGTCAATCAGAATCAGTTGTTGTTGTTTCCCCTATGTTTTGTTGGTGCATTAGAAATGCAAATAATGCAGTCCGATTTGTTTGTGGGGCTATTACCTATCAGGACTGTTCAATATTTCCTCCATCCAGGATTAATTGCCCTCTATTCGAAAGATAAATTTCGTTATCTAAACGGCTTCCAAAATACCAATAAAGGTCAGAATCGGAAAGATTGGGTCCCAAAGCTCTTGACTACCAATTTTTAGTGAAGAAATGCTCATCCCCACTGCCTATGATGCCCCCTTGAAATTGCCTAAGATTCGGTCAGAAACTGTGCATTTTGATTCGGCGTCTGTTGGAGATCTGTGAGGTTCTAGGTTGCTTCCGTCCCAGGCGTGCCAAACCAAAGCCGCTGTTGCCATCGTGGCAAAGGGCAATGTCCCTCACGTGGTATGTGTTTGCCAAACACATTCAACTGTGTTTGGGCCCCCATCGAAACAAGCCCATTGTCACGGCGCTGACGATGGCACAAATTGCCGGCCTCCCCAATCTCCGATGTTGGACTTGGCACAGGTGGAAATGGCAACCGCCCAAGATGCTTAAGCATGGGCTCTGTGCGTGCTATCATTCTGAGGCTGTGTTATAACTTTCCTTTGACATTGCACGTCGATTGATCCTTGAATCCTTTCGTTTGTGGCTTGGCCCACACTCCTAAATTGGCACTAGCAGCTAACTTGTATATGCGGTCCACAACCCTTCCCAATCTACATAGTCTGTACTTGTGAGAGAGACGCAAAATGATCTATTTGACCGTTTGCTTCGCATTTCACCTTTTCAGTTGTCAAGGCAAGGTTCAACTTTGCCATCCTGCCATGGAAACCATTCCCCTAATCGTCACAACCATTGATTAGGGTGATGGCCATCGCATTTCTTTGCACCTTTTCGAGGGGGTTTGGAGGGCTTGCACAATATCCCTCACAACAACGATAGAGGTTTAAAGATCGCGGCTTAGAAATCTGGGTCAGAAATGCATCCTTGAATAGGCCAATCGATCTCGAATTAGGATAGCGAAGCCACAACGACTTTCACGATAAAGTCCGCCAAGACACGTTTTCTACTTTTTTGCTTCTTTGTACAGAACTCTCTGAACTTCTATCCAAATAACATGGATAGTTTTGCACGGGTGGTCTTGTTTGGCCGCCACAGTCATATTCCTCACCATCGCAAAAAAGTGGTTGTTTAGGTGATTTTGTTGAAAAACGGGTGGTCCTCCAGCAGGAGGAACCTACTCCAAAGTGCTGCCAAATCCTCAATGCTTAATAGATTGACTTGCAAGTTTGGCTACTCCCAAAACATGGGCGCACCTTTGGCGGAAATTGTATGGAAAATGAAGCTTGTGCGATAGAGAAGTAGGGCAGCAATACAATAGAGGACAATTGATCTTGGATGGAGGAAGTACAATGCATGTTGTTGTTAAATTCAATTGTTTGTAGTGCCCTTGCACCTTGTGGGCTATGGCAAGCATTAAATACACAAGAGCACAATATATTGAGGTATTTGAATTTCAAATTAGAGATTTTGCACATCCAAAGCAGTTGCTTCCATACTTGTTTGCCACTCCACACTGAACCTGAGGGGTTGGGGCACTGTGAAAGTGTTGGGTCCCAAGTCACAGGGCCACGGTGGTTGTCAATGTTGTGGTTGTTCACATTGTGTAAAGTGTCAGCACTAGAAATGAATTACCGCCTTCCCACCCAGGCAAAACTCCAAAGGTGTCTGCAATTTCGATTCTTCACCCTTGGATGGGCCAAGCATTGCCGCCTATCATTATGAGGCGTTGTTCAGGCGCGGGGTTGCAAAAGCAGAGGCTATGGCTGATTGCATGCTCAAGTATGTCCTACTGGCATGTGGTTGCCTGCATTTCGCTGAAAGTCTGCAATAAGTCTGTTGGTGATAATATTCCTATTTCATTATATTTGCTGCTGGTGAAGCGCCCACCATATGTTGCCGATTTGTTGATTCTTGCTCAAGAAGGACCCATGGCTGGGAGTATGTGGGTGAGGGCACTTGGCCGCAGCCCTGTGCTTGTCACAACTGTCCAATACCCTTCACTTGCAGACATAAAGGTCATAAAGGTGATGAAGACCTTTTTCGGGTCTTAGGGTGTTTTTAGGTTCTATTTTGGGGCATTTGTACCCTTCATGCTCCCTTGATTACCTTCGTATCCAGAAATGATTGGTATCGGACAAACCTTTTGCCTATGGTCAACGACCAGTGGGTTGCCAGCTCAGTGGCCCCCCAGTCGTCCAGCATCTTAGGTTTCCCAATTTTTTGACGCACCTGGTTGCCGATTCCAGTCTCCTCATTTGTCGACTCTGCGTGCTAATTGCGACGGCGCCCACCCCTGCAGCGTATCATTTCAGCCAGCCCATTGCGACTTCAGCCGGCAGCACACGTGCCCGCTTCTGACAGACTGCGACATTCTGGCCAGAACATCAGTTGGCTAAACTGTCACTGGGCCAAACTGTCATCGTCATCATGAAATTCTGCACAACAAGGCAAGGAGGTAGCCATCGGCGTCCTGGTTGCCCGAGCAAAGCGGTGCCCATGATTTGTCCGTTGAAATCCGACGCACAACACAAACAAAATGCAGACTACTCGGACAATTCGTTGCTTTAGTGACTCACCCTTTTCTTGCCATGTTTTCTTGCCTTTGTATTACTTGCGTTGTGCGCTCAATGTGCGCACAACGTAAGCAGCACTAAGGCAAGAAAACGGGGCATCAGAGACTGTGTGTCATCTTGTAGCAGGACGGAAAAGAGTCTCGCATATAGTACAGTTGCTTAAGGGGGTGCTGCCCTTTGCATGACCTGTCTCTTTGCAACAAAATTTTCCAATCTCACCCTCTTTGTAAGAAAACTTACAGATGCTTACCCTCTTTGTGGCAATCTTTGAGGGGCTGCCCGTTACATGGCCTGTCTATTCCTCGTTGTAACAAATTTCGCCCCTGCTTGCCCTCGACAGGATACCTTTCCAGGAGATTTACGACTGCCTGACGGGCCTGCTGCCGGACAAGCCGTCGGAGCCCTCCCTGGAGGTCTGGGTGTCCGCCCAGCGCGAGCAGCTCCGCACGCGGTCGCCCATGAGCCCCCCCAGCGGCCGCGTGCGCACGGCGTCCCTGAGTTCGGCCAGCGGACGCCTGTGGACGGGTTCCCTGAGCGGCCGGCGGGGCGTCACGTCCGCGAGTTGCGCGAGTTCAAGGCGGGGGGCGAGCGGCGGCCCCCCCAGCTCGTGGGTGGAGTCGTCGAGCAGCTTCGATGACGCGGCCATGGCGGCCCTCGACCTCAAGGACGAGTGGCGGCGATAACAGATGGCGGACATGGGGTCAAGACGGATATGACAGACGGGTGGTTATGATAGACATGACAGACAGGGGTTTCAGGACAGACATGACGTGCGGGGGGTCACGGCAGAAATGGAGTCACGACAGGCGTGACAGACAAGACGTTGTGACAGACATGGAGTGGTGTGCCCTTTGCGGCGAGTCCACATTGACGGACACGATTGAAGTTGCTCGAATTCGCAAAGGACAAAGGGGTGCGAGCAGCGGCCCTTCCGAATGTCTGACGGCGTCGGGCGGGGTCCGGGTGGCGTGCGGAACGCCGCTTGGTGTCCACGATCGTGATTGCGCTGGGTGATTGCGATTGTTCAAAGAAAGAGGAAACATTCGCGTTTAGAAAAACAACAAGAAAACAATTGTTTTGGGACAATTGTTTGTTGCGCTTGGTGACTGTGGACCGTGTGATGAATCCGTGGGCGCCGGCCGGTGCCAAGGGGACAGGCCGATTGGTTTGGCGGGGATGGGGGCCCAGCAGGATGGGTGGGGATGGGCCAGCCAAGGGGGCCTCGGCGCAGGCGAGCTGCGGCAGGCGGGGTAGGAGAGAAGCAGACAATTTTGGGCGCCTGCAGGCAGGCTGGCGAATAACGCAGAGGGGTTCCTGCGAGGGTTGTATTCGATTGGCATCATAATGTAAACGCACAGACTGACAAACGTCTCAGCGGGTCTGGGATCTGGGGACGGATGGATGTTGGATGAAGTCCTGAGAAAGGGGGCGGAAGATGGCGTTGTTTCTTCCTCCGGTACGGCTACGATCTGTTCGTTGGAATGCCGCTTGCCAAAATGACCACCAGCTCGGAAATGGCACGGGCGTCGCGACTGCGGGTCATGCGGCTCCGCAAGAGCCTCAAAGTCGTGGGCGCCCTGCACATAAGCGGGGGCAAAGGGCAGACGGGGTGCCGGACGCCTTTTGTCCCGAATGCGGACTGCACGCAGGATCACCCGCAGCAACAACTCCCCAGCACTGTTCGATTACAGTCCAATCTGCTCAAGTAAATGGCCACCACTGTAATCGAGAGAAAACTGTAGAGAAAGGAAAGGTCAATGTGCTCAGCAGAAATCACCTTGAACCGCATGACATACGGTTACATTTAGCGGTCCTGCAGCTGCTGAATGCTCAAGGCAAACGTGCGCACGCTCAGCATCTCTCCAGTGCATATGAATCGATGCATTTACAGTTGAGATATCCTCCATCTCGTTGTTTTGCAATGTCACTCATCAGAACCGTCCAGAATGAGCACCAATGACGCCAATTGAAGAGCACTCTACGGGCAGCACGGACGGCTGTGACTGAGTTTTGCACCCGTACGGGAGACCACCCTTTTGACATTTCGTGTAAATTACACGAATTAATAAATTACAGTACATTAAATGTACTGTATGTCGGACGTGACTGCGCCCTCCTGCATCTGGTCTGCGCGGGTTGTGCCTGCGCCCCTCCTACGCCCGCTGTGCCCGGTCTGCTCGGCGCGCCGCAACACCCCAGCCTCCCCGACCGTGCAGGGACCGTTGGAAGCCCTCCCTCGCCATGGCCGGAGCATCCCCACGTTTCGCAGGCGGGTCGAACGTGCTCGCGTTCGGTGTGGGCGGACCCTCCGGTTCCGCCATGCTCCATGGCGGAGCGGTGCTTTCTCTCCCTCCAGGGATATTTGCGGATCCGTGCATGCAGGGACGAAGGGGCCCGGGCGAGCCTTTGGTCGGCCCAGACGAAGCGGGAAAAGTCATGCTCGCGTGCCGCAATGGGCTCGGTGGAGCGGAGGCGTGGGCCATGGCCTCCGGTGTGACGTGCTTACTTGGGGTTAGGCTAAAATTGACATTTCTGAATCTGCGGTTGGTCAAAAAAGTGCAAATAAAAATCAGCTTATTCAGGAGCTCTTGATGCCAATAGCGCCTTGAAACGTCCAATTCCGTGTAGAAACGGCGAAGTTATGACCAGTTGAAGTTGCAGTACTTTAGCATGGGATTCGGACCGGTAGATAGAAGCATCGGGGATTATGCGGAGCTGATTTAGGTGAACGGTGGACGGTGACGATGTGCCTGGACGCGCACTTGTGTTGTCTTGTCTTGATGTGACAATGATGGACCCTCGATCGGGCATCGCGCATGCGGATTTGTGCGCGCGCATGCAGGGAATTTGTGTAACCGTTCTGGCCCACTCTTTGGCCTCCCGCGAGCCAGCGAACCACCGCCTCGCTGTGCCGCCACCTCTCGCCGACAGCAGGCCCCGGGGATCGATCCCCGTCGAGCATTGGGCCCACCGCGCGACCACAGGAGCGATTGCCCTGGATACGCCCACCGTCCAAGGTGGAGAGGGCCGGCTGACCTCCAACAACCGAGCTGCAGGGCAGGGCGACCCCAACGCCTCCGGAAACCAGCGGCTGCCGACGGGGCCGCAACAAATTGGTTTCGGAGCGCGAAGCCCGGAGCCGGGAGCTGAGCGAGAGGCGCAGCAACCCAGAGTGACCACGCGGCCTGACAGGGCTGCGGATTCCAGAAGCCTCCAACACCCCAGGCAGCGGTCAGCACCTCCGCGGGTGCTGAATCGCAGTGCTGTGTGCCTGTGGGAGTTTGTTCAGGGAGCCTGAGGAGCTTTTCGTTGGACGATTGGTGTTCGGGGATCGACGGTGCCGGGCGATCGCCAGATCCGCAGATTCGCCAGCGGATTCAGTGCATGCGCCAGGCGCCCTTCGTGTAGCCGAACACGCGAAGGCCAGCACCCAGCATTTGGAAGATTCAGTCAACCTTAGGTGCCACCCGCTGTAGAATAGGGGTGAAGGTCCCGCTCTAGAAGTAGGGGACATCTGCTGCTTCACCTTATTTTGCAGGTACTGCAGGCGGGTCACCACCAGACCGCTCTGCCACAAGATTGGGGGCCTGATTAGGGGAAGGGGGAGGAGATTGAGCACGGCAGTAGGCAGGCCCAGTTGGGTCCAGAGTGCTACCTCCTAGAGGAGGCATCTCCCCTGGAACCGGTCAGAGGGTGAGGCCATTGCCCACCTGAGGTAGGCAGGCCAGCCACCCCCTCTGAACCTTGGGTGGCTGAGTCTTAAAATATTAGACAGGCTGGGGGTGCCATAGGCCAACCCAGACCTCTTACAGCAATCTCGTCCTAGGCAAGGGACACCTTCTTAGGTTGTTCGGCTGACGCTGGGACTAAGTTTTCATTAGTAGCCACAGACGCACCCTCTGGAAAGTTACCAGGTGGACCAAGAGGTCACCTTGCAGAGTACTGGGGGTAA